GAGCTTTTAACTCTGCTTCTTTCTAACTTATTTTCTTAGGCAACTTCAATCAGAGAAAGGAAGGGAAATAAGAGAGAGAGAGAGAGAGAGAGAGAGAGAGAGAGAGAGAGAGGGTGTGGTTGGATCTTGGCAGGCAACAATAACTGGTTAATGATGTAGTATAAGATCGAGTTGTAACACCTGATGTAATATCCCTTTAAAATTCTTTTGCAAATATGACTCATGGAGTCCGCAGTTCATTTCCTTGAAATGGATAGGAGAAGGTGTACATATCTACTAAATTCACAAGTTTATTGGTCATAGGAACTTGATCAATAATCAGCACAGGAGAAAGTACTTCAGAAATGACACAATGCTTTGTTGGTGTCTTTTTGTTACTTAATAGTTTGCATTGTACCATCGTTCTCTCTTCTCAATCTTTCAAACCTTCAACATTTTTGCTAATTCGCAGGACTCCTTTTGCTGAATTGCTTGCCTAGTGTCAACTGGTACTGGATTTTGATTTATGCTTGGTTATTACTAAGGCCATGCCTACTAGAGACTAATTACATGGGACATCGAAGAGGATTCATATGTTTAACCTTTTTGTAGAGTCTTTGATGGAGTTTTAACTTTTTTTAAGACAAGTCATTATACTTCAATTAACTGCTATGGTAGCATGAAAGTGGGTATTGTTAGATAACAGCACATTATTATATCTGTTATTTTCTGTGGTGTAGTAAAGGCTAATAAGTAATATGCGCAACTATATGTATTTGGTACGATGACCAATACGTATGGATGTAAAAAGTGGTACTTCTTGCCAGAAAGGAGTAGCTAAAGTTTCACATTGAATGTTTGTGGAACTTGTGTTGGAACTTTGTGATTGCATCTCCATTTAACTTTTTCTAACCTAATATTCCATCTAATGCCAAATTAGTAGCTCCTATCTTCTTGTCTTGAGGCAGATATTGTCTGTAGTTTGGCCCTTCTACCTATTTCTCTTGTTTTCCTTTCTGCTCTCTGTTGCAAGCATATTTTCCTTTCTTTTCTTTTCTGCTTTATTCTTTGAGTGTTGGATGACATAGCTATGTTAGCTTGTAATAGTTAACATTTCCATGTTAAATATTACATTTTTCTTATCTGCCCTCGCCATCTCCAAATAGCTGCTAAAATTTGAAACATAGCCACTGGTACAAGAAGCACTGGTTTTTTGTTACCTCAAATCAAATTCACAGAACAAATGTCCATAAGAAAATCAATACTTGATATTTCAATGATGCTGACCTTATTTTGCAATTTCATCTATATGTTGGAAATGAAAAGCAATTTTGGCATAGTCAGAACCTACAATCTGATTCAGTAGATACGACATGCATGCAATGATTTCTATTGCTTTCAGTTTAATGTTTGTATCTTCTCTTGATACAGAACAACAACACTGACAACAACAGAAAATACAGGCTATAATTTCCCATCTATTTGGGATCGGTTATATGGGTCTTTTTCTAGTAAATTATTCTTATATATCTCTCTCTAGATCTCCTCACATCACTAGTCCTCACATGCATAGAGTCTCCTTTGTGTCGTATGATCATTTTTTATATAATGCAAGACTTATGAAGTTTATTTCCAAGTGTTTTTCTTCACTCAAGCAATCATATTTTCCATCAATAACAAGCTTCAAATCACTCACTATGTTCTTCATGGCAGATGATGCCTAATTCTAGTGTAAACTTTGTATGCTAAAATTATACCTATTCAATATCTTGCAGCGAAGAGAGGGCAGGACAGGACCCCTCTGGACTGGGAAGCCAGGCTTAAGATTGCACTCGGAGCTGCAAGAGGAATTGCACACATTCACATGGAAAACAATGGGAAGCTTGTCCATGGCAACATCAAATCCTCCAACGTTTTCCTCAACAACCAGCAATATGGTTGTGTCTCCGACCTTGGCTTGCCATCCATCATCAATCCAATGGCTCCACTTGTGCCGCGCACTGTGGGTTACCGTGCACCGGAGGTGACTGATACAAAGAAAGCATCACAAGCCTCTGATGTCTACAGCTTTGGAGTTGTTATGCTCGAATTGCTCACAGGGAAATCCCCCGTTCCGATAGTGGGTAGTGGTGATGAGGTAATTCACTTGGTTCGATGGGTTCAGTCTGTCGTCCGCGAAGAGTGGACTGCAGAGGTGTTTGATGTTGAGCTGATGAGGTATCCTAATATCGAGGAGGAGATGGTGGAGATGCTTCAGATCGCCATGAACTGCGTGGCGAGGGTGCCTGAACGGAGGCCTAAGATGGCACAAGTGGTGAGAATGATCGAGGGAGTGAGAAGGTTCGATAGCGGGAATCGGCCATCAACAGAAGCCAGATCAGAGGGATCAACACCGACACCAGTTCAGGGTACAGAAGCCAGATCAGAGGGATCAACACCAACACCAGTTCAGGGTACAGAAGCCAGATCAGAGGGATCAACACCAACACCAGTTCAGGGTACAGAAGCCCCATCAACTCCCCAGTGAGACATTGGTTTCTCTATGCGGAGCTTATTGTGACACTGCTTCGCAGTGTGATTCATTATTGTATCACCATTCTCTTCAGAGTCTTCAGCTCTGTCGGCAATGTTTCACCTTTTCTAGGATAAAGGATGTTTCACCTTTTCTAGGATCAAACCAGTGCAGAAAATGTATTCTGTAGGTCAGGATTCCCTGTGACCTGAGTAAGGCAATCGAGTAGCTTGATATGTTCTGTTTCTTTAGCTATTCACTTGAGCAGCTGCTGCTTCTGAACTGCTGATAAATCTTTAAGTATTATTGATGTTATTGACTTGTCTTAGATGACAATAATGTTTGTCACTTGGTTAAAGGTAATAAATACTCTCTCATGGGTGGTTATGTTGTAGACTGCTGCTTGGGAAGGTTCAAATGTTTCTGAATTCAGATCAGCTGCAGACATGATTGCAGTGTAGTAGTCACAGAACAAATGTTTGTCTACATAGGTCAGAAGTGAGATTGTGGAGGTGCTTATTGTTTACATGCAGAACTGTGAGGCCTTTCTTCACTGGAATTGGCACTCACCCCTTCAAAATCTAAGTAGATACAGAAAGCTTAAGAAAAATCTACAAGATGCTATCAATTTAGATGTTGGTAAGTTCATTGAGGGTAAGAAAACTAACAAACAGGAAGATCTAATTTAGGGTTGCACTTTAATCTCATCCATCCAACACTTGAATTTAATCTGTTTTCATGTATAAACAAAGTTATGCAACCACATCTGTCACTGATTCCAAAGTTCTTCCTGTTTCATAGAAATCAAAAGGTATACAACCACATGTCTTGGGGAGGGAAAATGTATGGGTATCAGTGAACAAAAATTGGAGACTAAATTTAGCTCCAACTTTGATGAAATAAACTGTTGTCTATTTTGGTTGCAGATTTTTGGCCAAGAAGCAGCTCCAACTAAGAACAACTGCAATGCTGAGACAAGACTTTATTTTGCTACAGCTCACAGGAACAACACTTCTCTTTGGTGCTTCCCTCGGAAGAACAGGCAAGGAGAACAGTCTCAGAAGCCAAAACCAGCAAAAGACAACGTCCAAATTGCATCGCAGACTACTCGAGCAAAAACGAACAACCATTTCAACCTTCTCTTACATTCATGTTCCTAATAAGACCATCATCAACTCAATGCTCAGAAGAGCTTGTAGGGAGATGATGCATCCAAGGGGTGGATGAGATAGGTGAGCACCAAGGCAACCAGCATCAGCAGGTAAGCTATCCCTTGGTCAATTGATACTCCTGCAGAAATACCCAAAACAGGCACATGAACATATAAGAAACAAAACAAATGCATGTGTTAAAAGAATGACAAGGAGGGAGCTGGCAATCTTTCTCCATGGTTGAGACTTCTACTTAGTAATTCTGAATGCTATCAGAGGATCTTTCCTAATATATTGCTAACCCTCCAAAGAACATGGAAGAAGTTGTATCATAAATGCCAAACTAAAGAAGAAAAAAGATTTGGGAGATCATTTTATGAGACAAAAGACGGATGTTTTCAAGAAAACGTAACCGTAGCCGACCAAAATTAGCCGAGGATTTGTTCCCCCTTAAATTCCTGTATTTACTTGGGAAATATGGAGCAGATCTGGATGAGATTGCAGCAAAAGCGAAGCATGAAGGTTCATGGAAAAACGAAGGTTCCAACCATTTTCCATCAGATTCTCGTAGTCCTCACGAAAAGATTGCAGCTTTGACACATAGTGAATCCCAACAATCGTCGAGCATATAGAATTAGAAGATCTTTCGCACAAAATAGGAAGCGGAATGGCGAAGGGTCGCAAAATGCGGATAAACAACGTCTTTCCTACAAAAAGGGACGAATCTGGGGAGAGAAGAAGAGAAATGTAGAGGGACGCAGAGAAGGATCGAGGGAAGAGGGGCTGACCGTCGCTGGCGGGCGCCGGCGCCGGAGCCTGGGCCCGGACGGAGGGCATCAGTGCGATGCCGAAGGCGAGGACCACAACGGCAGCCGTCAGACCAAGAGGAACCCGACCCATTACCCTCAACTCGACCACCACACGGTAAACCTCGCGTCCCCCTTATCTCTGGAGGCTTAGGAAAGACGGACGAGAAACGCAAGAAGCAGCCGAGCGCCCTCTCGACGGCAAAAGCCTCCCCTTTTCCTCCCTCTTTCCCTCCTGTCTCCCGTCTCCTCGGTCTTCTCGAGCTCCTCTCTTTCTTTGCTCTGTCGAGAACAACGGATTACCAATTTACCTATATTTATATATATATATATATATAGAGAGAGAGAGAGAGAGAGGCGTGTTGGGACCCATCTGTGACAGGATAGGTAGAAAACGCTCAGCTAGACTGGACCCCACGGCTCACCTGCTCGTCAAGCCACCAACCACAAAAGAATGGCATATACATATAAACACACAGACAAAGAAAGATCGAGCAGATTACACCACGAAGCAACATCCGATAACTTTGCCGAACCATTTGCAGGCGTTTCTAATTGCAAAAACTGGAGTTCTATTTCCACAAAAATAAAACAATGAAGCGCATTGTCTAAAATCTAAATAAGAAAACAGATGACACTTGATATAAGAAACACACGGTAGAACACGACGACGGCTATAACTCCACTTGAACCAGGAATTTCTTGGTAGAACTAAGGATTATAAAAGCAAAATGAAGTTTGAACGATAAATTTGGTAGGCATTTCTTTAGCTAGGTATAACTCCTAATCGAACAAGCTAAAGCCCATATCGTCATCGGACTCCTCGGCTGGCTCCTCTTTCTTCTCTTCTGCAGGTGCTGCAGCAGGAGCGGCTGCAGCCTCTTCAGTAACAGGAGTAGCAGCAACAGCAAACTTGCTTGGATCCTGCACCAATTACGGATTTAGTATCCTATAGATTTATAAGAGGAAGTGTGAAGAAGACCTATAGCTGGGAATATGAAATCTACCTTTAGGTACTCCTTAATTTTTTCTGCCTGTGGGAAGGTGTACTCTGTTGCAATTGCAACTGCAAGCACGTTCTTGTATGCATTGATGAACATGTGAGGAGCTGCTGCAAGGGTCGGGTAAGAAACGGCCAAAGACAATGAAGTAACCATGGAGACACCAGCAGCAAACTTCTCGATGAGGTCATCCTCTGTGAGATCCAGCACCTCGGGACTAAAGACAGATCCATTGTCATAGACGGACAGAATAATCAGGCCATAAGAAAAAGGCCGTATCCCAAGCTTTGCAAGGAGAGCAGCCTCAGATGAACCCACTTTTTCTCCCTTCTTAATCAGCTCGACAGGAGTAATGATTTCGACAGTACCCTTGTTAATCTTGGTTGGAATATTGAGCACCTGAGAGAAAACAAAAGGGGTTTCAAAATTAACCCAACAATATTTTGTGTGAAGTACAAAAGATATATGTAACTCACCTGAAAGAAGGATGTCTGCGAAGGGTCCAATCCGGTGTTCCCAGGGGGGACAACAACATCAATGGGAGCAACAAGACCAACACGAGCAGGAGCTCCAACCTGAACATACAGGAAAAGAGAAAAAATAAATGCTACATGAAATTTGATGGACCAAGTGAAGACTACCACTCCTCAACCAGCCATCCAACAGGAACAGCAGTAATTTAAAGCTAAAAATGTCGGCAGAAAGGAACACAGAGAAACTCTATTTACATCGGCTTAAAAGATGATACCATCTACCAGCAAAAACAGATGTTTAATAAGGACAGACCATGTAGAAGTCTTGCTGATTTGGTAGAACGAAAATATGATATTATGTTGTTGCAATAGATGTTTTCTGCATAGACTTAGCAGATAAGAATCTTGTTTCAACTTTCCAAAATTCTTTTCCCAGTGGTTAAAACCACTCTCAATTCTATGATAGAATGCATAAATAAGGAATGCAAGTACAATATCAAGACCTCATTAGTAACAAAAGGATCTTCAAACCCATTATAAGTGTTGTAGGTGAAAGAAATCATCACAATATAAAAACTGTGTAATATTTTAGATGCAATTGCAAAAGAGTTGATCAATTTTGTTAGTCCTCGCTAGCTCAACCAAGAGTTTCTTGCTTCACAATGCAAATAAATATGACCTGCAAGCAGGGTTTTTAATACCATTCCGTACCGCACGATGCGGGCGATACGTACCGGTCCGCCAACTGATCGGCACATGGACTGCTCGCTACTGAGCGATATCAAGTATTTGGTATGGCGAGACAAGGAAGAAGAGGGCAATCAAAGAAGACGAAAAAGCATCGAAGAAAAGGGAAAAACATCAAGAAAGAGGACCGCGGAGTCACCATTGCCCATTGCACTATCACCAACGTCTCGATGAACTTGAGCCAGTCGAACCTTGGCGTGAACTTGTCTTCCACACCCTTTCTCGATCCCGATCCAAGAGGTAACGACAAAGAGAGTCATACCTCTTTAGAGGGGCCGGAGGCACGGGGATCAGGAGCGGCGATAGCGAGAGCAACGGAAGAGACAACACGAGGAAGGCGACGAAGACCCTAGCCTTCTTCATCTTTGAACGATCTCCTTAGTCCACTGTTGCCGCACGGAGAACATTTCAATGCCGTCTTTCTTCTCCCCACCTCCTTGACGTCAAAGGCCGCAACCAAGGCGACGAGAAAAAGAAGGTCAAGGCAATGATAACGAGGCTAAAATTGATTTTTATTTATTTTTTTAGCATACAGTTCGATGTGCCCCGGCGTACCGATCGATACCCCATACCCTACCGCCCCGAGCAAAGCTCGATACACGAGTATGATACAAGATTAAAAATCTTGCTTGCAAGAAAATAAAAATTACACTTGCAAAAATCTTGATCACAAATTTAGACCAATATATTTTTAAAGGCGTTCTACTACATTCCATCATATATATTGTTCAACATATTATGCTACTATAAGTAAAGCACGTTAGATAAGAAAGAACCATCCAGTGAAGGTGCTTTATAATGAACGAAGTTACTATTCACAAACAGACACAAGAATCCTACGATTTAGAGTACATGCCCCAAGGGTCCAACACCAGAAGAAACAATATTTAACCTATTTTAAAAGATTTTACAAAGAATATTTGACTGAATGTGTTCCAATAAATCCTTCAAAACAAGAGGTCCATACCTCTCAATATTTGAAGTTTACAATCAAGCTTTCTGACAAGTATCCAACTAGCTAAATACATCCAAATATGCAAATACATTAGATGTATCCTTTGTCCAGCATAATTAGGTTTTTTTCAAAGGAAAAAAGCTATATTAACTTAGATAACGGGTACACACTGCGCTCTGGAGGCCAGCACACAAAAAACTGTAAAAAGCAGGGACATGCCCCCCTCTAAATGAAAGAATAACAATTTGACCTAGCATAGGCTGCTAGCCAATTTGCACATCTATTGCCCTCCCTAAACATATGGAAGAGCCTAAAAAGAGTAAATTCAGTCAATATTATGTCCAGCATAACTAGGTTGACCCAGATCTCTCTATACAATTTCCAATTAACAAAAACAAATGAGTATTATATCAATTAACCACACTTGCTTCCTTAAACAAGCCAAAAAATGGAAAATTCAGTCTTAAAAGTGAACCAAGTCCAGTTCAAGTCAAAATGATGCAAATGATACCAAAGAATTTCAAATACCTGATAAACATATTGATGTCTCCAGTATGACTTACTAAAGGGTTTTTTTTTTCCTTCTAATCATATCATAGATGGAGTTGAAGGCTAGCTCAAAATTGACTGAGATTTTGTATCTGAGTGACTATAGGATTTCGAAAGTATCCACAACCTTGTACATGTACAGGCATGCAATGCTCAGTGAAAGTATAAATCTACAAGACTTCAGCAATCTACATCTGATTTCATTTGCATGTTACCGATTACAACATATGCAATTTGCAAGAAATAAGGAGAACTTGATGACAATTATTAGATATGTACATGAAATGTCTTTATGCAAATAACCTACTTAACAAATTCATAATAGAATTTCAAACGACCATTTTAAAAAATAACAATTGCAATTCCTCATCTGCTATTTAAACCTAAAGATATCATTTTCAAACTTGAAACCAACTGCAAAAGAGAAAAAGATCATGGGAGAACAAAAGCACACCTGGTACTTGGCAACCTCCTCACTGACTTCCTTAAGATCTCCCTTCGTAAATATCAGCCCAACATTTCCCTGAATCAAACAATTGTTATAACAAAAGCAAACATCTATAAAACAAGAACATTTCACCGGCGATAAATGGATAAGCGAGAGAGGAACTTACGACGAGGAGCGGGAGGAGGTTGAGGTAGTTCTTGTTGCCGGTCTTCTCAGCGTGGATCTTGATACAGCGGCGGATGAGGGTGTTCTTGCCCATGAGGACGATGGAGTCGCCGCGGAGGCCCTTGCGGATATTCTGGAGCTGGTTGGAGCCAACGTTGTCAGCGACCGCGATGAGCACCTTGCTGTACTCATCCAGCAGCGAGCACAGCTTCTTGTCGTACACCACCTTCTTCTCCGCCTTCGACAGCTTCACCGTCATCTTGCTTTGCTTGTTCTATGTAACCGGAACCAAAAAGGATCTCCTTTTGAGGGCCAAGACGAGGCTATGAGGCGTCGTCAAGGCGGACGGGGCCGGGCGAGCCCTGTCTCTTTAACCTCTAAAGATGGAGAAGAGACGAGAGTGGAGGAGGCGGAGATAAAGGAGAGCACGGGCTGTGAAAGAAACCCTATGTGCTTCCCCTCTCTTATATGGAGGGGATGAGCGATGGAGGCGAGAAACGAGGCAGTGGACGGTCGAGATCGATCAGATTGGGTTGCCCGGTCCGCCTTGGCAAATGGTCCACGTCCGCTCCATAGGTTCACGGCCCAAATTTGAAGATAGCGCCAGTAATCCAATCGACGCTACCAATTCAGTTACGATGCTTGCAACGATCCGGTGTCTTCGACCCTCTACGGACCAACTGCATCACGTACCCGTCTCTTCGTTGGACGTGCCTACCATCGATATGTGGCTCCCGCAAGGGACTCATGCTTCCCGCAATCACAAGCCAGGTAAGACTGCTGGTAAGTCAAAAATACTTCTCTTTTCTCGACACGCGAATGATTTGTTTCGTACACGGACAACCACAGTTGTTTCTGAGATCAAACGTCTACTTCAGTCCCATCAAGTCGACGATGCGAGCAGCGTATACTAGAAAGAAGTGGACGGTTCATGCCTTTGATATGTTCGATGGAATGCGTCAAAGGATGTGAGTAGTAGAAGACTTAGCACCTTCAGTTCACTACCCTTTTTTCATACATGCATGAGTTTGGCTATACTTGCTGCGTGTCTTCATAAGCAGTCCAAATGACCTGTCATTGCATGAGTTTGCATGTGTGTTCCAAAAGTCTGCTTAAGTGATGACTTTAAGGGTAGCAGTTGGTGCCAGCAGATCATCTAATGGAGATTTCAATTCTCCTGTATGCAGAGGATGTCATGATGGGGAGTAATTGTACTTCATTTGTTCCCTGCGGTCACTTTGTGTCTTTTAAAAGGTTCTTTCGTATTACTTCCCTTGTAATTTTTCTTGGGAAGCTTCAACTTTGATAAATACAGATCAAAGTCAGCTCGTAGAGTTACCATCCTTTTGTGTTTATGTTATTCTCTACATCTTTTGTTTGTTGAAACTTCTCCCAAGTTATGCTAATGGGAGTGTAGCTCTCTAATTCATGACAAACTTCTATTCGCAAAGGATGCCATCTGACCCACTCTATCATGTGTACTACTTAAACTGTTCTCAACAGAACATGATGTCTCTCAGATATACATTGTTGTATCCATGTTTACAGCTTCTAGTTTCATTCATTGGGCATCTCCTAGGATTATTGAGTCAGCCCTCAATGCAACTTCCTGAAACCTGATATCTAAGAGACTTCTAAGCTCTTCTTCTAATGTGCAGTTTTTGATTGTCTGCCATGTTACACCCATATTCCTGTAGATTTACAGTATTCAGCATGCAGGTGCTTGTAGTGATTTTTGTTTTGTGAAGTCTTTTGTTTGGACAAATCTCGATTGAAATGGGTTTAGTCTTTAGGTAATATTTTTTTGTGTCATTGGGTTACTTTTTTGGAGTGTATTCCTTTAATGCATCTTTTTTTTTTCATTATTATGTTACATTATATTATTATCTACTTTGTTCGAGAGATTCTAGGGATGAGAGATCTTACACATGTGCAGGTCTCACATGTTTAGGAGTTAGAACATCTTGATTACTCGAATTCAGAATATTAAAAAGTGACCAATTCATTGGATCTCTTTCAACCAATATTCTTATTTAATAAGTTGACTAAATCTTAAATAAATGTGGGTTTGGATTTCAGATGACTGTTTATTTTGATATGCAGATTGACCGTGCTTGCATTTTGCTTGGGTTTCAAGCTTTTTCTAAAAATTTACTATTAATTCAGGGCTAGCTACTCTAATCTGATAACGTGAAATTTGAAGATGTTCTTCGTACTAAAGATTCTGTAAAGGTACTTGATTGACATTTAAAGATCGGATGATTGTAAGGGTAGTTCCAAGATGTTACTGCTTTTCTAGATGAGCACATGAAATAGTCCATTTGTTGGATTGACATAGTTCTTGTCTCACCAACCTGAAGACACTTCTATGGCACTTGGATTTTAACTTGGTTGACGTTGAAATCAAATAGACATTGTGCATCATTATCACAGAACTGTAACTGTCAGCTTTCTTTTCTGCTTTGGGTCCATTGATCTAAATTGCCAGCTAACAGGTTGTGGAATAGGCTGCCTTTTCTGATTGAGGTAAGGATGGGGCCTCTTGTTCTTTACTTTCTCTTTGATGTGTTCCGTCTCTTTTTCTCAAGTATTATGCCCTTCCATTTCATGAGGTTTGACAAGTATAAACTGCATGATCAGTGTCATGGAGTTAGTTTCACTAATTCCAGCTTAATTATTTTTTTATCTGATGTTTTAGACCAAGAGTGAGAATCACAAACTGAAATAATTATTTTAGGGCTGCTTGGTGATTAAGTTAAATAAGACTTTGTGTTTGTTTGATCATTCTTTGTAGGCATGCTAGTTTTCCTGCCATATATTCTTACTTCAGGATCTCATTTCTGTTGCTGCTGCTGTAACCTTGAGCTTTTGGTTAAATTTCTGATGGAAACTAGGCAGCCATTTCTGCTCTTCTAAAGGGATTGGAGGTCTTGGCACCTTAGCATCAGAGACAATTTCTTGGCTGATAAGATAGGAAAAACAGTGAACCACATGACTGCTAAATTCTCCAAATTAGCTGGGAGGAACTACCTTGCCTACTGGAAATAGCAGAGGTTGATACACGATTGGATGGATATAGATTGCTTGTTGGCTAATAAATGCAACCCATCATTTCTCCTTTTTGGGACCAAACATTGAAGTGTGACTTCTTGGAGCAATTAAAGTGCCTTGGGGTGGTCTGAAAAAACATGAACAGGTAGATGTTAATGTTAGTACTGATTGTGGATCTACCAATATGAGCTGAACTTTTTTCCACTGCCACCATTAGATTTTGGAAGGTACCAACTACTACAACCTTTTATTCAATGCCACAAATTTAAGCAAGTGCATTGGTAGGTCGAGTTGAAAAGTCTGAGGTAAACAATCTACCTCAGTGATTGAATCACTCTGGCTTGGTAGATACTTGCTGAAGAGGATGCTTGGGATCAAAGTAACATACATGGGGCAAGGTAAACTTGGTAAACAAGTTCATTGACTTGCAAAGAAAGATCCAACCGGAAGCTTTGTTCTTGGTAGGCTGTGTTACTTGGATGATAAGGTTACTGTGACGGATTGTTTGGACTTGAGTGTGGCAAGAGTTATTATAACTTGGAAATGGTGTGGCTTGGTTGATGAACTGGTGATGTAAGACAGATCATGTCTGTTGTAGGAAGACAAGTTTTCTGCTCCTTGCTTCTTGTTGAATCGACACAGAGGGGGGAGATGGTGAGGGAGAAGCCATTTGGCTCAACAGTGGACAGATATGGTCACATGACATGTTATTTGGGACCTTGTATGAACTGCCAAATGCCTGTGGTGAAGAACAAAGTGGAGCAGCACCGGGGGACCAAATCCACACATCAAAGTTGCAAGATTTAAAGCATCAATGTCTCAATTTGCCAGAAACAGGTACAACTACTCTCACCTTTCAATTGCTGCAGAGCAATCATATCATTATATTTTCTTTAAATATTAAGCTACAATCTTGATCAGTATTAATACATAATTGAACAAGGATTTTTTGATGCTAAGCTAATCAAGAAGTTTCTCATTCTTCGAGCTACTGTTCCATCAGTGACTCCACAACTATGTGGACTCAATCACCTTGTAGTACACACTGATTTATGTTCTTAGAAGAAACATAGTGGAACAGCATTTACATACTCCAATCATTCATACCAACAGCAAGAGACATTTATTACATTTTGTAGCAGTAAAAGGGTGATTTAATCACTGTAGTTTCTTCTTTGTTCCTTCTCTTCCTTTCCTTTTATACTTATTCTCACAAGTAGTGTCTGTTCTTCAAACCAGTGGTCCATCATTTGGCAGCCTATTTATAAATCCAAGATGATAACTTGTCCACCAATCCTCATAAAGAAAGTGGCATGGAATTGGGGAAAATTCCAATCTTTAAAAGCTTTGCATGCACGAGTAATTAATTTTGTCACAGGAATTACTCCCACTCTTTGTTTGCTGCAAGGTGATAACATTATGGATTTTAAAGAAAGAGGATAAAGGTGGCTCTTTTCCCTGCCCCACTCTGTCTCTGCAATATGATCATAAAAATGGCTCTTTTCCCAGCCCCGCTCGCTCTCTCTCGCTCTCTCTCTCTCTCTGCTTCGTCTTGGAGTGGTGCTTTCTACAAGTTTACATCGTCACCCTCTCCCTCTTCTTTCTCTCTCTCTCTCTCTCTCTCTCTCTCTCTCTCTCTCTCTCTCAAATCTCTTATCTCTAATCCTCTGCTTCTCCACCTTCATTATTTTTGTACTCTTGTTTGGCGAGCGGAGAACGTAGATGGTGAAGGGGAGGATGGGGTGGGACTGGGAGCCTTGGTCGGTCCACCAGCGCAAAAGCAACCACGTCGTCGTCAAGCTTCTCGTCTTCGTGATCCTCGTGGGCCTCTCCTTTCGCCTCCTCTTCTCCCACTCCACCGACTTCCAGGCCGTGCCGGTGTCGCCCGTCGCCGTGGCGGAGATAGCGGCCTCCGCGGGTGCGGTCGTGGGCCTTGGGGACGCAAAGCCGCAAACAGGTGGGGGAATCTTGTTCGCAAGATGAGTTCTTTTTTGGGGTTGAGTTTTCGTGGAATGCGTAATCGAACAAAGGACGTAAAGGAGTCGTTCTTGGTGCCGTTCGCGGTGTTTCTTTAGATAGGACTTTCGAAGAAACGATCTCGGGGGGTTTTCATTTGTGTGTCGAGTGCACTGAAACAAAAAACATTTCTGCGTCTTTACAGTGGAGTGATCTGAACTTTGATAAGAAGTAAATATATTTCTTTTTTCTGGATTTTACGTTAGAGGTATGTTTTTCCTGTTGTTGGGATTTGATTTGATGAAAAAAATTGTAGAGCCAAAACTTAAGTTTTTGGTTTTCTTGAGAAAGACCTTAGTTATGTTTCCCCTGAATTATGGTAAATTATGCTAGTGGGTATGAGAAATCGAGAAGTCAGATTATCATTTCAGGTGCTGAAAGTGAGATTGCTGTCACATCAATGTTATTGAATAATTAGAAAGGATTAGTTTAAGAGAGAAAGGAAAGGGATTTTAAGGTTTCGCAGTTGTCAAGACCAGTAAGCCATGTGATTCTTTGGAAAAAGAGGATAATTTATATGATGATATTGTCCTGACTAGTTGTTTATTGTGCAGTTTGTGTAATTAACCTAGACATTGTACTACTGTTATGGTGGTTAGATCTGAAGATCCCATCAGCATAATTTGCTTTTAACATCATTACATACTAGTAAAGTGCATGCAAGAAAAGCTCAATTATTAGATCTATAAGAAAGTGAGAAAACTTAAGAGGTCAAGTTAGCGTATCTGCCCCTTGTTGATTAGCAGTTTATGAATCTGCTGGTAAAGAAAGTTATGTTTTGGAAGTTCTAGAGGTAAAATTTTACCAAAAAAATTGGCTGCTATTATAGCTTATTATGCATATTAGATTTCATTTTATTGCAGTTATCTTCTCATCTAAAATCATCAAATATCTTTGTCCATTTCAGACTTACCATCAACAGATGCAGGTGCCCCGGCTCCAAAAGCCGCCCTAGATGTTGAAGAACAAGTTTCTCAACAAGGTAGGAAGTCCAGAGCTTTCAAATATGGATATGAATGGAAAGCAAATATGAGAAAATAAATCATATCCTTATTTTTCTTAATAGCCAAGTCAGGGACAATTTCATGTTGTTATCACTGTCAAGCAGCTAAGCTTGGTCAGGTATCTAAATAGTATTTGTGTTAATTTGGATTTGAGATAGATGTTATTTTTGGTGTTGATCCTTCATGAATAAACAATCTTTTCCAGGATCTGTAAATGTGCTTATGAATTTGGAAGCATTACAAATTAACTGCAGCTGAACTGGGGTATTAGATGTCATTCTGGGCAATGGGAAAAAGCAAGAAGAGGGGGGAAGGGCTAAAAATGCTAAATAACTCTTTGTATTATCTGCTTCTTGTTAAACATTATATATGGGACGTAGTAATTTTCTATGTTTAATGATATATTTACTGGTGGCAAAGGGCCTGAAACTTGAAAGATTTGTTTACTGTTGTAGTCTGAATTCTGTGTAATGTACTTTGTATTTCCATAATAATGTTTTTGTAGCTTCTCTATTTTCTTTTGTTGTTTTCTTTGTTTTGTTAAAGTTTTTGTGCTATTGTTTGACTGGTATATGCACTACAGATAAGTGTGATCTTTTTACGGGAGAGTGGATCCCGAATCCATCAGGACCACTGTACACCAATGAGAGCTGCCGATTCATAGAACCTCCTCAAAATTGTATGAAGAATGGACGTCCTGATGTGGGATACCTTTTTTGGAGATGGAAACCACATGGTTGTCATGTACCACCCTTCAATGCCACAAAATTTTTGGAAACTATGCAGAACAGAAGTTGGGCGCTCGTTGGTGATTCAATTCTTCGCAACCATGCACAGTCATTGATTTGTCTTCTTTCTAAGGTGAATTTTATTAACAGTATCTAGTGCAACAAGTTTAAAACTTAACTTTTTCTAGTTAATTGGGCCATGTAGCATTAATTTTCTAAAACATCTGATTAGAGCAGAACTAGCTTCACCAGTGTTTTTTCCAGCATTATCAATTTAAGCACAACTGATGCTTGGCTGAATATTTTCATGGTGCCTCATTTGATTTTACCATGATTCATGTTGGAACCTGGATGAAAATCACCATCCACTATAGGTCATTAAGCTGCAAACTGTGCTAACCATGTGGTGTCCTTGAATTCAGCTTCTTAACCAAGCTGACTTGCCTATGATCAGAACTAGTCTACAATGTTCTGTGCGTCTGTTGTTTTGATATATAGCATTGTCTACATCCGTGAGTATAATTTTAGTTGAACCTTATAGTTATCAACCTCATCACTTGCATCCAGTGATTATCCTATCATGTCTATAAAATTTCTCATATATTTTATTTTTCTTGTTTGTAGGATCAAGTGTTCTCCTTGTCCCTAAACTTGGGGTTAATTATTAAATTATTAGTCTGAATTTTTTCATGTTATAGTAGTCCAACTTGACTTATTTAGATGATTTTACTTTTCATCTTTTTGTGTTTTAGCATTCAGTGTGAGCTCTAAGCTCTTAAACATTGACTTTCCAATAAATGTTTATTCATGCAAAGATTATCGAATATAGGATAAATGTAAACTCCAAATTGGTGTCTTAAATGTTCCAATAAGTTTGCAGTTCAGTGAACTGCATCCAGCCTTAAATGCTGGCATGAAGCGAAGTTTGTCTAATACTCCTTAGAACTCCGCATGGTAAAATTTGACAGGAGTGTGTGTTATCACTATGGTGGAATTCAAAAGCAGTTTGTGCGATTAGAACTTATAGTAATGTACCACTGTTTTGGTAAAGTATGGCCTTCGGTAATTTCAGAAAGAAAGCAACCCCTCAGTTATAATCATAATCTCTTAAAGGTACATGTCAATGCAAAAAAAATCCCTGATATATACCAGTTCTAGTTTCTTGTGTTTTCTCCACTGTGACCTTGTTTCTAAATTCTTTCTCCAAGCAATGAAACCTAAAATTATGATGATAAGCCCTGTACAGTATACACTATTCGATAAGTCACTTACATTTACCAAGAAGGTTTGCAATTATGAAGATTGTAGCAGAATTGGCACCTTGAGGAGTTGGTTTATCCTCCCCTAGAAGGGTTGCAATTTCTACAAGCAGTGTCATCTCTCTTGTTCAAAAAGATTTTACATCTGATATTTGTTGTCATAGTACTTTACAAATTGGTGGATTATTCCTGGATAAACTGATACAACCCTGAAATTAGTCGGTTGTTTATAACTATGGCACCTTGAGGAGTTGTTATCCTCCCCTAGAAGGTTTGCAATTTCTACAAGCAGTGTCATCTCTCTTGTTCAAAAAGATTTTACATTGGTATCTGTTGTCATTGTACTCTACAAACTGGTGGATTATTCCTGGATAAACTGATACAACCCTGAAATTAGTCGGTTGTTTATAACTATATGTATATATTATATCTCCACGCAACATTATAATTCTGTATTTTGGTTTTCTGCATCAATTGTTTCTATATGTAAGAGACATTGTTATTCTTGGTTTTCATAACCGATCAACTTAACTGTATCTCAGGTCGGAGATCCTGTTGAGGTCTACCATGATGACCAATACAAATCAAGAAGATGGCACTTCCCCTCTCACAACTTCACTCTCTCCCTCATCTGGAGCCCGTTCCTCATCAAAGCAGAGATCTTCGAAAATGATAATGGTGAGTCGAAGTCTGAAAACCGGCTTCACATCGACACGCTTGATAAAAAGTGGACAAGTCAGTATAATAGCTTTGATTACATAGTGATATCTGGTGGCCAGTGGTTTCTGAAAACTGCAATTTATTTGGAGAATAATACAGTTGTCGGTTGCCACTATTGTCCCAAGCTGAACATATCAGAGCTCAGTCTTGAGTCTGCTTATAGCAAAATCCTTAGTTCTGTCTTCGGTTTTGTCACCACTTCCAAGCACAAGCCAGTTGTAATTTATAGGACATGGACGCCAGACCACTTCGAATATGGTGAATGGTTTAGTGGTGGCAAATGTAACAGGACCTCACCGTATAAGATCAGGGAGTTCAATGGCAAGGATGTGGACCATGTGATGCGAAAGATTGAGTTGGAGGAGTTTGGCAGGGCAGCGACAGCTGATGGTTCAGAGAATGAGGCAAACTTGAAACTCTTGGACACTTATCAGCTCTCATTGCTGCGGCCTGATGCTCATTCGGGTCCTTACAGGACATTTCATCCATTCGACAAGAATAAGAATGCAAAGGTTCAGAATGACTGTCTGCATTGGTGCTTGCCTGGCGCAATTGATACTTGGAATGAGTTAATTATGGAGCTTATAACGAACGAGTGAATCTCAGTTACAGCTTCTCCAAGGCGAAACTTTGTTTCTTCGCATCCGTCGTATGTGTCGAGATCAAATTACAGGAAAGCCAAAAGCCACAGGATTCTCAAACTGCTGCACGGAATCTGGTTCAGCTGAAGAAGATTATGATTGTATTCTCGCTTGGATAACTGTAATCAGATGTAGTACCCTGTAAATTTTGATGGACGAGAATCCTGCCTAATCTTTGTTGCCATGATTCTCTGGCATTCTTTTGATATCAGAGAAGATGCCTATTTTTGTACCAAAATGCAAGAATTTGTGGCTCTCTTTTATCTTCTACATCTCAATAAATGATCACTGTGGAGGTCTACTAGCTATGGTTTCTGTCATGTTGATACCTTCACTTGGATAAGAACTGAAACACATTACTTCTTCAAACACTGCTTAGGAGCATTGATCACAGTGTGAGTTGCAGTGCTAAAATCATGATTTGGTTCCTTCCAACCACTTGAATTGCTAAAATCATGAAGCTGCAAGATTTACAATGGAAGAAATAGACCGAGTTCTATGAGGAAGTAAGCATCCTAATTGGCCATATTGCAAACTCCCATATGTTGGATTTGGCAGCCAACCTAAAATCTGAAAGAACACAAATCATTCTCAAATCTGATATGAAGTTGAATAAAATTGATTCAAAATAGAGGAAGATGTGAAGATTACACGAACACGAGATTTCATCGACAGATGCGAAAATGATTTCTTGTGTGTTATTTCTACTAAATACCATTATGATACGATCCACTGTAATTACATGATGTCGATTCCATTTGCTTTCTCTTGTCACCTGTGACAACTCACTGCCTTTGTTCCAGAGAACAGTAGACAGACACCAGCCACGAATCAAACCCTAGAGAGGAGGAGGCCAACGGTGAGGCGCTTTTGAGAGCGACGAGTCGGCGGCGTCGTGATCTTTGTTGCTTAGCTGCGGTCAGTGCACATGAAGACAGCATGCCACCTTATTTAAGGCGGCTTTCATATCATATCAGTCTCCGATTTTTGTGCCGCCTTCTCTCTCTTTCTCTCATGCCTCCTTCGTGGTGCCATTGAATGACTCCTTGGGAGCCTTCATTGAAGCCCTCGAACGGGAGGTACGTCTCAGCAAAGTGGCTATATACTGCGCTGCAGCCTTGTCACCCGTGCTTTTTAGATCTTGCGTCTCTTGTGAGTTATACGTATTTATGGTGTTACATGTGGAGGACCGCAAAATCTGGCTAGAGAGAGAGAGAGAGAGAGAGAGAGAGAGAGAGAGA